ATTTTCTATGCGAACATTAGCAACGAAATGAACGAAATATGACACATAATAGATGTAGTGCAACATCTCAAAGATGAGTGACCATTAGAAAGCATTTTGAAATTCGATGAGTAAACTTAGACCTAGAGTAAGTTAGATGAGTGATGAAAAAATGTTTTTGCTGATTTGTAATTTTTTAACGGCCGTCGGACGCCACCTATGAATTTCGTCTGCCATGTCAGCATCCAACAAACGGATTTGTTGACAGTGGTGGATGGAGAGGTAAATGACAAAGTTGAGTGAGGACCGTGAAGTATAATGAAATTCGATGAATAGTCCGTGACCATAGTATAAGTTCAGTGATTTTTGAAATAATTCACTCGCATTTAATAGAAAAAGATGTTCGAAAAAGTATTTATTACTTAATTTTTGACTCTATAATAAAGAATGCTTGACTTCATCACCGTGTTCCGACATATGGAGCATGTTTGTTTCCAATTAAAATTCAATTAAAATTGAAAATATGGCTGTTATTGGATCTCACTCGTCTAATAAAAGTCAACAATAACAGCTAGTCTTTCAATTTTAATCTCTACCGAACACGCCCATGATATTAATTTTTCTTGTACCTTGTCAATTTTTCATTAAGTTTTGTTAAAATTTTAATTTTTATCCAAACCAAACATGGGCTAAATATTATGATTTATTAACTGTTTTTAAAAATTAAAGTTTCCTCAATATCCTAAGATTTCTCAAACATTTTTTAAATTATTTTTCTCCAAAATAATTTTCAGTCACGGACCCACAATTTTTTCACACTTTTTAAGTACATATTATTAAAATCAAATATTTTTTCTTGAAAAAGAATGCTAAACCAGCTTTAAATATTCCTTTGATTTGCAACTAATTTTTCACCCGTGCGATACACAGTGCGATGCATAAATTTATATTAACTGATAAACAATTCTAATATGAGTAACATATGCAAATTAATTTTCCAATCCAATTAGATACAAAATACTTCATAAAATTAACTTGCTAGTGAATGTGTAATTTTAAATAAAAATATAT